CTGGACTAAGTAGCGAGAGATGTATGTGTGCCGTGAACGTCTGGACTAAATAGCTAGAGATGTATGTTCCCCTGAAAGTCTGGACTAAGTAGCGAGAGATGTATGTGTGCCGTGAACGTCTGGACTAAATAGCTAGAGATGTATGTGTGCCGTGAAAGTCTGGACTAAGTAGCGAGAGATGTATACGTGCCGTGAACGTCTGGACTAAATAGCTAGAGATGTATGTGTGCCGTGAACGTCTGGACTAAATAGCGAGAGATGTATACGTGCCGTGAACGTCTGGACTAAATAGCTAGAGATGTATACGTGCCGTGAACGTCTGGACTAAATAGCTAGAGATGTATATGTGCCGTGAACGTCTGGACTAAATAGCTAGAGATGTATACGTGCCGTGAACGTCTGGACTAAATAGCTAGAGATGTATACGTGCCGTGAACGTCTGGACTAAATAGCTAGAGATGTATACGTGCCGTGAACGTCTGGACTAAATAGCTAGAGATGTATATGTGCCGTGAACGTCTGGACTAAATAGCTAGAGATGTATACGTGCCGTGAACGTCTGGACTAAATAGCTAGAGATGTATGTGTGCCGTGAACGTCTGGACTAAATAGCTAGAGATGTATACGTGCCGTGAACGTCTGGACTAAATAGCTAGAGATGTATATGTGCCGTGAACGTCTGGACTAAATAGCTAGAGATGTACGTATGCCCTGAACGTCTGGACTAAATAGCTAGAGATGTATGTGTGCCCTGGACGTCTGGACTAAATAGCTAGAGATGTATGTGTGCCGTGAACGTCTGGACTGAATAGCTAGAGATGTATACGTGCCGTGAACGTCTGGACTAAATAGCTAGAGGTGTATATAAGCCGTGAACGTCTGGACTAAATAGTTAGAGATGTATGTGTGCCGTGAACGTCTGGACTAAATAGCTAGAGATGTATGTGTGCCGTGAACGTCTGGACTAAATAGCTAGAGATGTATACGTGCCGTGAACGTCTGGACTAAATAGCTAGAGATGTATATATGCCCTGAACGTCTGGACAAAATAGCTAGAGATGTATGTGTGCCGTGAACGTCTGGACTAAATAGCTAGAGATGTGTATGTGCCGTGAACGTCTGGACAAAATAGCTAGAGATGTATACGTGCCGTGAACGTCTGGACTAAATAGCTAGAGATGTATACGTGCCCTGAAAGTCTAGACTAAATAGCTAGAGATGCATATGTGCCCTGAAAGTCTAGACTAAATAGCTAGAGATGTATGTGTGCCGTGAACGTCTGGACTAATCAACCGGACAACTGACAACAATGTGGTTGTCACTAAGATCCATCTTTCTTAAGGACTGTTACGCGTTCAGGAAGTCAACAACATAGCATGTTAAAATGTTTTGTTTTTTTCTGCTGTGTTTTGGTCATTGTCTGGGGATTTTCAAAAACCTCTCCCTCTTCGTAAATGATTACACATAGTTGACGGTAAATTGAATCTACCACCTACTCCCAATGTTTGAGTCGTGAGGAATGAGAATTTAAGGCAATTTACGTGAAAACCATTTTGAAGTGTCCAATTTGGGAAAGATACAAATTCTAAACTTCTTTCTTTTTACCGTGACGAATTTCCAGAAGTCCATGGTAACTACTTTACTTGTCAGGTGTGATGTGGCGCGGCGTTTATTACGGCTACATAGTACGGTTACACTGAAACTTTCAAAAACGAAACTGTTAGGTGCTGGCTGAATATATTTCTGTGGTGAGTTATTTCTTCATTCCCTGACTGCTGCCTGACTCGAGAGTCTTGGTGGAAGATTTGAAAAGATTTTGGATACACACAAACTGGCTGTGAAGGGATGTCGAACGTGTCATTAAACAGTAGCAGTCGCTATACAGTGTTAGACTAAAGGAACAGAAATGGAGAACTGAGGAGGGACAGCTGTGTACCCGTTCTCGGACAAGTTACGTGTACATCATTTACCCTGTACTTCCCAAGCCCAAGCGAAAATGTTTCAGCTCTGCTTCGGGCGTTTCCCCGACTCGAAACACCGGAATGGCGTAACCTGTGAATTTGTTTGAAATTTTACGACCGCTATAAGATAATGATCATTTAGCACTTAAATAAATCATCAACTTGAAGCAGCATAATCTGTGAGCTTAACAAGTATTTGTCACAGAGTGACGAAATATCCCCCGCCATATACACCATAGTACCAAATATGAAGACAATCCAGCGATTAGTTCTTGAGATATTGTGGCAACACCGTTTTCCAACTCCAAAAACAGATTTGCCTGCTGTGACCTTGAAAATGGGGTCAAGGTCACCAAATCTGACAGGTGTATGCGGTGTCTGTATATACACTATAGTTCCAAATATGAAGACAATCCAGCGATTAGTTCTTGAGATATCGCGGCAACACCGTTTTCCAACTCTAAAAGCAGATTTGCCTGCTGTGACCTTGAAAATGGGGTCAAGGTCACCAAAACCGACTGGTGTCTGCGGTGTCTGTATATACACCATAGTTCCAAATATGAAGACAATCCAGTGTTTAGTTCTTGAGATATCGCGGCAACACCGTTTTCCAACTCTAAAAGCAGATTTGTCTGCTGTGACCTTGAAAATGGGATCAAGGTCACCAAAACCGACTGGTGTCTGCGGAGTCTGTATATACACCATAGTTCCAAATATGAAGACAATCCAGTGTTTAGTTCTTGAGATATCGCGGCAACACCGTTTTCCAACTCTAAAAGCAGATTTGTCTGCTGTGACCTTGAAAATGGGATCAAGGTCACCAAAACCGACTGGTGTCTGCGGAGTCTGTATATACACCATAGTTCCAAATATGAAGACAATCCAGTGTTTAGTTCTTGAGATATCGCGGCAACAAACAGGTGGGACGTACGGACGGACGGACGTACGGACGGACGTACGGACGGTCGTGAATACTATATCCCCCGCTTCGCGCTTTCGCGCGGCGGGGGATAAAAAGGGGCACTGATCTAACGCAATTCCACGGACTGGTTGTTGCCTTTGTTATTGTTTTTTCCCCCGTGAGAACCCGGATGAAACGCAACGCAACTGAGCGTGACCAGAGACTGGGCTACCGTCTACAAGGACAGCTAAATAAACTTGGAGGCTGGAGGCAATATTTGTTTTACGCATTTTTGCATAGACACTGATTGGTTAACTGTGATCTATAAAGATTTCGACAAAGGGCGCATGTTAATTAATTTCTTCAGCCTAAACAAACAGACAAAAAGAACGGCGGAGCTCATCGGATGTCGTCATTTGGAAATACCCCAGATGGTTATAGTTTAATACTAAAAAAGTATCTATGCAGTGAAAGCATTTTCGGATTTCGGATTGCGTCGATAATACGATTACTACTCCCTTGTTGTCATCCACGTTTTCTCGTATAACCCTACACTTGTGTATTTGTCGTCATTCACTCATTCATGCTCAGTTAATGAATTTATTACAGGTACAATTAGTGGTAGCACCACTTAGATTACCTGACAAAGGTTCCCATTTGGCATTTATTGTGTCTGGGGTAATTATTCAATCTAAATCCAGGTTTGAAGTGAGGTGAAATGTGTGTTATGTAATATGCACGTGGCAGACCAGCAAGAGGTGAATGATCAGTTGATTTACTTTTTTTTGTAAATCAACGGATCGTTCCTAGTCATCAAAGGATTAACAGAAAATACGTTGATTGATTAATCACTGTTATCTTGCACAGTGGATATGTCAAAAGTGAGTGTTTACGTGTCTAGGTTTACTAAAACAAAGGGAATACACTCATATCATGGCGTGAAGTGCCGATGTAAAAACAACATACTTTGTTCAAAGGGTTAACTGATAATACGTTGATTGATTGATCATTGTTATCTATCACTCAATGGATTTTTTAGGAACCGTGAACGTTATGAAAATAGTTGTCACGTGGGCTTTCTCAGCCGACCCTTGAGACTGGACACCTATGTGAAACACCTGAAACAATCCAAGTGATCAGTTGAGAAACGAACACGGGTTATAATATCCCGAAACGATATATATCTTTCAAAATATTTGATTGTTACAGAGACACGTGATATCGAATAAGTTTCTTTGTACAGCTGCAGACGAGTGGGATATTGTTCCTTTGTGTGGATATTCACGGATACATTCCTCGAACAAGGAAGCTGCCTAAAATTTATACACATAAATTTGGTAGGTTGCAATTATGGTATTTGCATTTTGTTTTCCTTCATTTGAACCGATTCGTTCTTGTTTCTCTACGTCTTGGTTGAAATTCTTCAATGCGCGATAGACGTTGTTTTCACAGGTCTTTTCCTTTGTAAGCGTGTATATATTACCGTCAATTTGTAAAATGTGATTCTCTCCGGCAATTTATAAAATGTGTAAATATTTCAGTCATTTTGACTAAAAAATCTGTCCCGATTGATTAAGACGATCAAAAGGGCCTACAAACATCACAACAGATTATTATGTAGTATTAGAAGCCAAACAACATAGAAATGTACTTTTCAACGTAACATTTTCAGTCTCTCTTGGTGATGTCATTAAACATCAAAATGTTTGGAATTCGTTATCATAATAATACAGATGGAAATGTTTTTCAGTCACTTTGTAAAATAACTGAATATTTAGACGTTTAATAAATTTGAAAATGTTACACATTTTGACAGAAAAAAAATATACACACTATAAAAAAGCAATGCCCAGGTGAAATATTTACTTTGTGTTCCAAGTCAAAATAGTGTAAACGAAAATCGCAAAATTACCAAGCAAGTGACTTATCAAAACTTCGTCACCATTACCGATGCTACCCACAAAGATACCTACATTTCCTTATTATCTCGAAAACTGTATTTCATTTTGTTGATCAATGTGACCATACGCCCTTATTACTACCCATAAAAGTGACTGATGCGCTTACGAATTGCGCAGCAGAGGTCGCGAACTAGTCTAGATTTCTGCTATACATCCGGGTACTCATTGGGCAAAAACAATAACAAAGGCAACAACCAGTCCCGGGGAATTGCGTTAGATCTTAAGAAAACCAATGTTTTGACGACTAACAACGGCTAATACATATTGCAAAATGTAAATCTGAAATATATTGCAGGCATATCAAATCGTAAGGAACTAACATAAAATGAGTAAGTGTCTAACATTAATTAACATTAAGCTACATAAATAAATACAGAAATGTCAATCCAGTTGTCCTGAATCACCCTGCATATGCTTGTTATCAATTTAATAGTGCTCTTGTATAACTCATTGTGGTAACTGGCCCGTGAAAATCCGGGCTAAAATAGGTCTTCAGCAACCCATGCTTGCTGTAAAAGGCGACTTTGCTTGTCGTAAGAGGCGACTAATGGGATCGGGTGGTCTGGCTCTCTGACTTGGTTGATGCATGCCATCAATCCCAATTGCGTGGATCGATGCTCATGATATTCATCACTGGACTATAGGAGAGGGGTCAGTGATAATGCAGTAGGTGTTATGCTATAGCAGGGGGGCAGTAATAATACTGTAGATGCTATGATATAGGTGAGGGGTCAGTGATAATGCAGTAGATGTTATGATATAGAATGGGGTCAGTGATAATGCAGTAGATGTTATGCTATAGGAGGGGGTCAGTGATAATGCAGTAGATGTTATACTATAGAATGGGGTCAGTGATAATGATGTAGATGATATGCTATAGGAGAGGGGTCAGTAATAATGCCGTAGATGTAATGCTATTTGAGAGGGGTCAGTGATAATGCAGTAGATGTTTTGCTATTAGAGAGGGGTCAGTGATAATGCTGTAGGTGTTATGATATAGGAGAGGGGTAAGTGATAATGCTGTAGGTGTTATACAATTGGTGAGGGGTCAGTGATAATGCAGTAGATGTTATGATATAGGAGAGGGGTCAGTGATAATGCTGTAGGTGTTATACAATTGGTGAGGGGTCAGTGATAATGCAGTAGATGTTATGATATAGGAGAGGGGTCAGTGATAATGCTGTGGGTGTTATACAATTGGTGAGGGGTCAGTCATAATGCAGTAGATGTAATGCTATTTGAGAGGGGTTAGTGACAATGCAGTAGGTGTTATGATATAGGAGAAGGGTCAGTGATAATGCTGTAGGTGTTATGCTATTTGAGAGGGGGTCAGTGATAATGCAATAGATGTTTTGATATAGAAGAGGGGTCAGTGATAATGCAGTAGATGTTATGATATAGGAGAGGGGTCAGTGATAATGCTGTAGGTGTTATACAATTGGCGATGGGTCAGTGATAATGCAGTAGATGTTATGCTATAGGAGTGGTGTTGGTGATAATGCAGTAGGTGTTATGCTATAGGAGAGGGGTCAGTGATAATGTAGTAGGTGTTATGCTATAGGAGGGGGGTCAATGATAATGCAGTAGATGTTATGATATAGGAGAGGGGTCAGTGATAATGCTGTAGGTGTTATGCTATTTGAGAGGGGTCAGTGATAATGTAGTAGGTGTTATGCTATAGGAGGGGGGTCAATGATAATGCAGTAGATGTTATGATATAGGAGAGGGGTCAGTGATAATGCAGTACGTGTTATGCTATTTGAGAGGGGTCAGTGATAATGCAGTAGATGTTATGCTATTTGAGAGGCGTCAGTGATAATGCAGTAGATGTTATGCTATTGGAGAGGGGTTAGTGATAATGCAGTAGATATTATGCTATAGGAAGATGGGTCAGTGGTAATGCAGTAGGTGTTATGCTATAGGAGTGGTGTTGGTGATAATGCAGTAGGTGTTGTGCTATAGGAGAGGGGTCAATGATAATGCAGATGTTATGCTATTTGAGAGGGGTCAGTGATAATGCAGTAGATGTTATGCTATTTGAGAGGTGTCAGTGATAATGCAGTAGATGTTATGCTATTGGAGAGGGGTTAGTGATAATGCAGTAGATATTATGCTATAGGAAGATGGGTCAGTGGTAATGCAGTAGGTGTTATGCTATAGGAGTGGTGTTGGTGATAATGCAGTAGGTGTTGTGCTATAGGAGAGGGGTCAGTGATAATGTAGTAGGTGTTATGCTATAGGAGGGGGGGTCAATGATAATGCAGATGTTATGCTATAGGAGCGGTGTTGGTGATAATGTAGTAGGTGTGATGCTATAGGAGGGGGGTCAGTGATAATGCAGTAGATGTTATGCTATAGGAGCGGTGTTGGTGATAATGCAGTAGGTGTTATGATATAGGAGGGGGGTCAGTCATAATGCAATAAATGTTATGCTATAGGAGAGGGGTCAGTCATAATGCAGTAGATGTTATGCTATTTGAGAGGGGTTAGTGACAATGCAGTAGGTGTTATGCTGTAGGATGGGGGTCAGTGATAATGCTGTAGGTGTTATGCTATTTGAGAGGGGTTAGTGACAATGCAGTAGGTGTTATGCTGTAGGAGGGGGGTCAGTGATAATGCAGTAGATGTTATGCTATAGGAGCAGTGTTGGTGATAATGCAGTAGATGTTATGCTGTAGGATGGGGGTCAGTGATAATGCAGTAGATGTTATGCTATTTGAGAGGGGTTAGTGACAATGCAGTAGGTGTTATGCTATAGGAGGGGGGTCAGTCATAATGTAGTAGATGTTATGCTATAGGAGAGGGGTCAGTCATAATGCAGTAGATGTTATGCTTTTTGAGAGGGGTTAGTGACAATGCAGTAGGTGTTATGCTGTAGGATGGGGGTCAGTCATAATGCAGTAGATGTTATGCTATTTGAGAGGGGTTAGTGACAATGCAGTAGGTGTTTTGCTGTGGGAGCAGTGTTGGTGATAATGCAGTAGATGTTATGCTGTAGGATGGGGGTCAGTGATAATGCAGTAGATGTTATGCTATTTGAGAGGGGTTAGTGATAATGCAGTAGATGTTATGATATAGGAGTGGTGTTGGTGATAATGCTGTAGGTGTTATACTATTGGTGAGGGGTCAGTGATAATGCAGTAGATGTTATGCTATTTGAGAGGGTTCAGTGATAATGCAGTAGATGTTATGCTATTGGAGAGGGGTTAGTGATAATGCAGTAGATATTATGCTGTAGGAAGGGGGGTCAGTGGTAATGCAGTAGGTGTTATGCTATAGGAGAGTGTTGCTGATAATGTAGTAGGTGTTATGCTATAGAAGGGAGGTCAATGATAATGCAGATGTTATGCTATTTGAGAGGGGTTAGCTGTAATTCAGTAGATGTTATGGTATAGGAAGGGGGGTCAGTGATAATGCAGTAGATGTTATGATATAGGAGTGGTGTTGGTGATAATGCAGTAGGTATTATGCTATAGGAGTGGTGTTGGTGATAATGCAGTAGGTGTTATGCTATTTAAGAGGGGTCAGTGATAATGCAGATGTTATGCTATAGGAGTGGTGTTGGTGATAATGCAGTAGGTGTTATGCTATAGGAGAGGGGGTCAGTGATAATGCAGATGTTATGCTATAGGAGCAGTGTTGGTGAAAATACAGTAGATGTTATGATATAGGAGGGGGGTCAGTGATAATGCAGTAGATGTTATGCTATTTGAGAGGGGTTAGTGAAAATGCAGTAGATGTTATGATATAGGAGGGGGGTCAGTGATAATGCAGTAGATGTTATGCTATTTGAGAGGGGTTAGTGATAATGCAGTAGATGTTATGATATAGGAGAGGGGTCAGTGATAATGCTGTAGGTGTTATGCTATTTGAGAGGGGTTAGTGATAATGCAGTAGGTGTTATGCTGTAGGAGAGGGGTCAGTGATAATGCAGTAGATGTTATGCTATAGGAGCAGTGTTGGTGATAATGCAGTAGGTGTTATGCTATAGGAAGGGGGGTCAGTGATAATGCAGTAGATGTTATGCTATAGGAGCAGTGTTGGTGATAATGCAGTAGGTGTTATGCTACAGGAGGGGGGTCAGTCATAATGCAGTAGATGTTATGCTTTAGCAGGGGGGTCAGTCATAATGCAGTAGATGTTATGCTATTTGAGAGAGGTCAGTGATAATGCAGTAGATGTTATGATATAGGAGAGGGGTTAGTGATAATGCAGTAGATGTTATCCTATAGGAGGGGTGTTGGTGATAATGCAGTAGGTGTTATGCTATTGGAGCAGTGTCGGTGATAATGGAGTAGGTGTTATGCTATAGGAGGGGGGTTGGTGATAATGCAGTAGATGTTATGATATAGGATGGGTGTTGCCGATAATGCAGTAGGTGTTATGCTATTGGAGTAGTGTCGGTGATAATGCAGTAGGTGTTATGATATAGGAGGGGTGTTGGTGATAATGCAGATGTTATGATATAGGAGCTGTGTTGGCGATACTGCAGCAAGTGTTATGATATAGGAGGGGGGTCATTGATAATGTAGTAGGTGTTATGCTATAGGAGGGGGTCAGTGATAAGTAGTAGATGCTATGAAATTGGTAAGGGGTCAGTGATAATGCAGTAGGTGTTATGCTATAGGAGGGGGGTTGGTGATAATGCAGTAGATGTTATGATATAGGAGGGGTGTTGGTGATAATGCAGTAGGTGTTATGCTATAGGAGGGGGGTTGGTGATAATGCAGATGTTATGATATAGGAGCTGTGTTGGTGATATTGCAGCAGGTGTTATGATATAGGAGGGGGGTTGGTGATACTGCAGCAGGTGTTATGATATAGAAGGGGGGGGTCATTGATAATGTAGTAGGTGTTATGCTATAGGATTAGGGCAGTGATAAACAGTAGATGCTATGCTATTGGAGAGGGGTTAGTGATAATGCAGTAGATATTATGCTATAGGAAGGGGGGTCAGTGATAATGCAGTAGGTGTTATGCTATTGGAGCAGTATCGGTGATAATGCAGTAGGTGTTTTGCGATAGGAGTGGTATTGATGATAATGCAGTAGGTTTTATGATATAGGAGAGGGGTTAGTGATAATGTAGTAGGTGTTATGCTATAGGAGCAGTCTCGACGATTATGCAGTAGATTTTATGCTAAAGGACTACCCCTTTTAATCAGTGATACCCCTTTTAATCTGTATGTTTGTGTTTCCAGTGGTATTTTCGCAGCTGACTTCTTGAAAAAAACTGCAGATACGAGTCTGGAACTTGGTGTAATGTGTTCCAAGAGATGTCTTTCTTCATACAAGTGTGGAAACCTTGCATTACACAAAGCAATATCCTGGAGGCCTTGAACTTTTCGATTAATCCTAGTACATTTTTTCTGATCGGAACTGAGCAAAGGATAAATGGATTGCTTTACACTCACAAAAGACAAGAACTTTTCACATACGAACTGCTGGATAAAAAGCAAGGAAGCATATGTACGAGAATAGTTCGTATTTTTTTACATGTTTATTGGAAACAATATTTTGCTCTCTTGATACACTGACGACTCACAACTTGTTAAATTACAAACTGCCTGTTCAATCCACATGTTCCCTAAAGCCAGGCTAAACAATGTATTGTCATGTGCCTTGACCAGTTGCTTTTGTTCCATGTTTTGCCGGCATGTTGATCAACATACTCATATTATCTAATAGGATTAATCTGGGTAGCAGTGCCTGGGAAAGTGGTGTCAAATTTCAAACTATTTTACAATTTTCCAAGATGCAGTGAGCTGTATGAAACATTTATCATTAACAAAATGCTTTTTTTGACATTCCTAATTCCTTATGCTCATATCAGTTTGTCAACACTGCTGCCAACACATGTCATATACTTGACACCGATATGTTCATTCTTTTCTTATCATGGTTATTTTGATCCCTATCAAATAGGGTTTGCGATGTGGGTTTTTGCCTAACATGTCTTCAAAAAACCCACCATTCATTTGAATAACTCCTTAAAATAATAGTCAAATTCAGTGAGGGTTTTTTGTGTGACCTCATGACACTGAGGAATCCTGAAAGAACAACAAAATCTGGTTCTGTATCAGAAAGTGAAAATTTATTGCACTGCTTAACATAGTACAAAATATGTTACATTCAAATTCATTGAAAGAGCATATCCATCAGTTTAACAGACATGCAAGACCCCTGATTTAGCAAGTGCTGGTATTGTCATACATACAGCATCCTCTACTAGTTGATCTTAAAACAAACCACAGCCATGGGTTTTGTAGAAACCAACTAGTGGGTCCATCAGACATTTATATATACATATATAACATATTATATAAGCATCTGTGATAATGTTCTGTCACATAATTCAAACATCGATCAGCTAACTTCATTATCATATGCAGAGACATACACAAATAATAAAGCATTAGACTACATGGTTGAGTCTTGAATACAAGGAATAAGAGAGGGAAGATTCACCCATTCCAGAGGCAGCTCAATTCATATACACACCTTTCTGTGAGAAAAAATATTTATAACACTTATTTTATTCTTCATTATCAACTATATTTTAACAAAAGAATTATTAACCTGAGCAACAATAAAGCCAGCTGGAGGTCTTGCCAGGCATGCCAATTTATACTGTTATCAGAGGGGTACACAAAATATGTGACCTGGACTATAAGTTGTCAGACTTAGTGGGTTAGATCACTCAATTAGTGTGCTAGCGATTAGGTGCCTCATTCTGAGAGTGTGGCTTAGAAAAAGTACTAGAATTTGTACTGAGGTAAGTTATCCCAAATACATGTATAACATTTGGTAGTAATACAAACTTGAAGAAGACTTATCTTTTGAAAAGGAATATTCTATGAACTACCAGTCAGTATGGACAGTTTTCATTCAGACAGTGTAAGATACATTTACTAATGTGGCTACTTCATCTCAGTGTGTATCAGTTTCCAAAATTGTCATAAAGAGTCTAACATGTCACATGTGTGAAGTGCTTACACAGCTGCCCATTATTCACAGCTTCACATATCCTGACACCATTTTCTTTCTACTTCTTGGAAAAGACTTTTTCTGCCAAAGTCAGATAAGGGGAAAACATCAGCCTCATCTTTGAGTTTCAAACTAACTCCATAAGGGAGTAAATTGGCTTCCTCAGGAAACTGAGTGAGTTAACTTTGGCAAAATCTGCGCATCAGATTAGATATGTATAAAAAAAAGACATGAGTAATCAACCTGGCAAAATATTAATGTCAAATTGAGTAGCTTCTCTGATTTAGTGTTGATGTACACATTTTAAAAGCACAGAAATAAAAGAAATCATATTTTTAACCTATAGAGAAATTTATTCTTGATAAAATTAAGGTCACCAGATCCGTTATCCAACAAATATAAAAATGACCTTCAGAAACAAGAGTGTTAAAGACGTGACAAACAACTTGTCGCTGCCAACATCAATATAATCTCAATAAAACAATGACCTTTTCACCTGTTGTGCTGAGTATGTTCAGATATTTGCAACAAGGGCATGGAAAATGATCCAGCACATAATGACAGCACAACTATCTTATGTGAGCAGCACAATAAGTGACCATAACTAACATGGATTCACTTCATGTGAACAAAAGACAATAAAAGAATTAGCAATAAACCAAATCATAAATATATCTGACTGTTTCTCCAACAGTCTCATCAAATATTATATAAACCAAGCAAACAAAATGCTTAATTAATACCAGTATCAGAAATTTAAGAGTCATATTCTAAGCAATATGATTACTCTAAATGTGTCACACAATATAGATCTATTTCCCATATTGAATCATTTTACCTGCAGACATAATCATACATCATGTCAAAAAGTGAGAATCATAGAGGAAAACATTTCAAACAAACACTTTCATAACAGACAAAGTAATATTAACAAATTTTGGCCAACAGCAGTTTCATTTATATCTTCTTTCTGTGAAAAGTCTTTCTGAATAGAAATAGTAGGCAGAAAAAGTCAAGAGCATTTCAACACATTGAATCTCAGAAATTTCACAAAATTTATGCAAAAGACACAATACTTGATTGATCACGTAATCTGCTGTTGTTATGTCCCCAAAGGCCCATCAAATATGAGTAAAAACACAGTGACATCAGAGGTCAGACTGAACTGGGGAGAGTTGTCTAACTTCAGCTTTTTGTTGTTCCAGATAATATATTCCTTGTGAACAGTTACCACAAAGTGATCTGCTTTTCCTGGCACAGTGGGTTGAAATTCCATGATCAAGAGTGAGTCAACAATATTCAGAATGTGTGCTGCTTTGTGTTTATATTCAAATGCACCTCGAACTGTTGAGGATAGTTCATGATCAATACGAAGTCCAGACATGAAGTGCAGCCATCGATGACAGAAAAAGGTGCAAGGTATCTCATCTTGTTTAGTTTAAACATATTTTAATCAGATTGAAATGGATTGGGAACAAGCTATCTAACTTAGGACACCCCCCTCCATAAATCTTATCTTATCATATCGTGTGACAAGTAAATTGATGTCCGCTAACAAAGAAATGCAACCTATTTTCAACAAACGTGAATACAGGTTGTGTCACACCATTTCCTAGAAAAAAAAACAAGCACACAGATAACATATTTACAAAATGGTAATGTTTTCTTTAAAAAATGCCACTAGGCTCGGAGCTCACCTGAGTCTTTTGAGGAATATTTTATGAAACCTGAAAGGATGTGCAATTGAAACAGAAAATCTCTACTAAGCAGACATCCTCCCAACAAGTTCACTAGATTACCGATTGGTACAAACACAGCCGGAGATGAAGAGTAAACATGTTCATCACCATCACACTATTAAGAGCCACAGGTAACTATGAACTTCTGACTGATATTTTTCCATCTCGTGGCCTTTCACCTTTCTATTTCAGTGCATGTGCCCAAAGAATTCCTCAGGTCCATTGTAGGATACCTTCTGAGTCAAACTCAAGTATCCATATCATCAACCAAGAAGTTTCAGAGGAGATTTCTAAATACAGTCACACGAGAAAAACAGGGACATGTGTTAGTTGGATCAAAAGTCAAATTATGCAAGATAATTATCGTATGTTATTCCTCATTCCACATACATGCTTCATATCAAATTACATGACAATATATAAAAAAAATTAGGGCAACAATGATATTTTCAATAAAGCATCTGTGACAGCCATGCTTAAAATCAAATATTGTAATATATCAAATAATTCTGTGAGCATCTTTTAGAGTCACAATAACTGGAATCATTCATGCAAAATTTCAGTTTAAGAGGAGATGTTAAAAATGTACACCTTAAAGACAGACAACCGGACAGACAATGCGTTACAACACATGCTCAATTGACTTTCTGTCAGGTGAGCTAAAAGACATATTTCATCTCAGTGTTCAATAGTGCAGTTAATGTATTTCACACTTTCCCCAAAAGTACAGTGCATATGTGCCTCACTGGTAAAAAAAGTAACTCTCACACAACAGAACAGCAATTCACAGTGAACTCATTCACACAGTTATAATCTTTTGAAACGTTTTGACACACACACATCTGTAAAAGATCCAGGGAGAACCATGCTCCATGGAGTACTCCATGCAGTATTGGCCTACCTAGTTGTAAATAAGCCATGTATGAAATGGAGACATTGTCTTTGTGTAAACCGGTTAATCTGACAAAATTGACAAAGGAGGGTGCTTATTAAAATCATTCACAAGTTTAGGGCACATTGGGTGGAAAAGGTCAAAACTCAATGTCTACACGTATAATACACACAATTTCTACCCTGCCACCCCTTCTTGGAGCGAGGTGCTAAATACGGTGAAAAGAGTACATCATAAATAGGAGACAGTAGACACACAAAATGGACTTGAATTTTAATTTGCTTGGACAGCCAAAAGCCTAGTTGCCATTTACGCCATTTAACTTACTTACAAGTCAACTGTTCAAAGCCTCAACCACATATATACACATGCACAAAAGTTAAGCGCCACCCACAATATTTGTGAGCTGTTACTTTTGGCACTTAATGATGACTATTATAACGAGATGTACGATTGTTATAAGCCGTATATGTAAACCTCATGTGATGCAAAAGTTGTCCCAAAGCAAGTTTATCTTGTGTTCGAAAAGAATATGAGCAGAAAGGAATTTTACCAAAGACCAGAAACTGAAGGATTAGAAAACATCGAAAAACTGTTTTTGTCATGTAACTGATATCAGCAGACCATATCAGGTGTCACATAGACACCCTAGGGAGTGCAGAGTCTATTGCAAGACAGAAACGTCAGTAACGTGTGTATGATCCACGGACATTGACCACAGCTTCAACCCTACGCCTCATACTCATTACAAGTCGTTGAATGCTTCTCTAAGGCAAACGGATCCATTCTTCATGAAGTGCGGCTTCAAGTCCAGCGAGATTTTGAACTGGGGGATCACGATGTCTGATTTTCCGGCCAAGAATGTCCCAGAGATGCTCAATCGGATTAAGATCCGGACTACAGGCCGGCCAAGGAAGAGTGGCAATAGCTTCTTGACGCAAATAAGCCAAAACTGCCCGAGATCTGTGTGGTCTAGCATTGTCTTCCATGTAAACAGGTCTTGTCTGAAGAGGATGGTTATCAAAATGAGGGACTACCACTGGACAAAGAATGTTATCTTGGTATTGTTGGCCATTCAGGTTTCCACGAATATCAGACGATTCGGCATGTGCCTCTCAGTCAGTTGAGGACGTTTTACTGGTCTTCTGGCGTTATAACCAGCCGCTCTGAGGCGACACCTTACGGTCATTGTCGAGAGTCTCTGATGGGTAATCCACTGCAGTCTTTAATCTGTTGAAGTGGCAAATGGATTTCATCTGACTATCCTGAAAAGACGTCTATCCTCTCTGTTTAGGGGTCTTTCGTTGCCTACCAGACCTATGCCTGTCATTGACATCATTGGTTTGACCATGTTTGTCAATCAAACGAGTGATAACACTGTGATGAAGACCCATTTGTCTTGCAATTGCCCTGCATGACATGCCAGCATTTTTCATGCCTATCACTTGCCATCTTTCAGCGTTCGTTAACTTTCTCCTCACCATGGCTGATTTTCAACCTCTATTGGAAGGGGAATCTCACACAGGAGCAAAATGCAACCATGTGTTTGAAACTTGAATTTCACTATTTATAGGGTAGGGGAACTGCAGCAACACGTAAAGCACGCTTTCCTTGTGGTATCTGGACAAATGTGGGTTCATGAAACTATGGAAGCCTAATTCAGTCATACATCATCATATTTCGTATTTCTGATTCCCACACGTGAAATCAAGAGACTATGAATATGGTGGCGCTTAACTTTTGTGCATGTGTATACATACCCCCCAATGTAATAGATCACAAAACTGATACATATCCAATGTAATAGATCACAAAACTGACAAACAGCTGCCTCCTCTACATAGGAAAGGTTAAGATGTGGATCATATTCCAGTGCCATCATATGTGGAATTGTAAATGCCATGATTCAAGGAGAAAGGTCCATGAATTCTACACAAGTTGCTGAATGGACAGATGAGCAACACAACCTACAGTGACAGCTCATGACATGCTACAGTTCACCCAAAACATCCATTATTAAACACATCAACAATATGTCTCTCCCTATAAGAGTCAGAACAGCACAAACAAGAGTCATCAGAAAGATGACAGATCCCCCCGGCAGCTGTCTGTAAAGTAACCACAAGTAAATGTGCAATTCCGAATGTAATGAGTCAAGAGTTGAATGTTCTTGAAGAATCATACATTGTTTACTCCCAAAAGATCGACCACGGTCGCATCCATATGAAATGGAAAGTAAAACAAGTGTGTTTCTGTGGGTTTTTTATGCAAACAAATGACAAATTACAAGAAACAATAACCTAACAAGCATATAGTCAACAAAGTCATCTATATCCCCCACCCATTTTAACACGTTATGGTCCCAAACCAGGTAACTGACCCAACATTTCTCTTAGCCCATGTCAAAATAGCTGCAATGGAAATTCTAAAATAAACATTTCTAAAACTCCTGAATATCAAATGGCACCAGTTCAGTATGTGCTTTATATATAGACATGCAATGTTTGGCAAGGAAATATTTAACAATTTATTTGTTATACTCCATAAGTGAACCCACCCTATATTAAAACTTAAATCCAACTTGTTGCGATGGAAACCTAAAAAATAAAAATTTATAAAATTCCTAAATAGCAAAAGGCACCAGTTCAGTATGAGTCTGATAGACATGCAAAGTTTTGTTAGAAAGTTTTGAATGGGTTTTGAGTTATGCTCCAGAAACGAACTCTACCCTATAGAACCTAAGTCCAACTTGTTGCCAGGGCAACCTAAAAAATAAAAATTTATAAAATTTATAAATAGCAAAAGGCACCAGTTCAGTATGTGCCTGGTAGACATGCAAAGTTTTGTAAGAAAGTATTTAATAGTTTTTGAGTTACGCTCCAGAAACGAACACTACACTTATAGAACTTAAGTCCAACTTGTTGCCATGGAACCCTAAAAATTAAAAATTTATAAAATTTATAAATAGCAAAAGGCACCAGTTCAGTATGTGCCTGGTAGACATGCAAAGTTTTGTAAGAAAGTATTTAACGGTTTTTGAGTTATGCTCCGGAAACACCACCCTTAAAGAACTTAAGTCCAACTTGTAGCCATTGAAACGTGAAAAATAAAAAAATTCTAAAATTCCTAAATAGCAAAAGTCACAACTTCACCACTTGAGTGATATAAATGCAAAGTTTGATGTAGAAATTTTTAACAGTTTCGGAGTTCTGCTCCGGAAACAAACATCACTCACAAAGTTAGCCTATGTCCAGCATGTTTTCATGAAATTGGAAAAATAAAAAAATTGGAAAAATAAAAAAATAGCAAAAGTCACAACTTCACCACTTAAGTGATATAAATGCAAAGTTTGATGAAGAAATCTTTAACGGTTTTCGAGTTCTGATGGACGATGGACCGATGGACGGACAGACGGACGGAGGGACATGCCCATAGCTATATCCCCCCGCATTATATGCCGGGGGGATAACAACCGAGTGTTTCAAAACACTGAACAAGTACAGTGGCCATGAGAAACTCATGCAGCACAAGAGTATTATTTGGTGCAGTATTTATTTGTTTCCAGGTATTAAGAAATAGATCCAAATTACACCACCATGTAGTACCTCTCATCTCAATCTCCAAGAGAAATACTAAAATAATCATAGACAAATCATTCATAATGGAATGGTGGGCTGATGTTATTCTGAGCCAAATAAGAGTACTCCTTCAATTTAAGGCATTTTATTGTTAATTCCTGGGTTTATGGTTTTGCTGAACCCAGTTTTGGGGAAAAATATTCCAACTTTACATGTTTAAGATTTTTACAATACAGCCAAGCACACTTTTGAAAAAATATCACAATTTGTTTCCTTCTTTGACCCAGATAAATGATACATGTTCAGCGACTCAATGCATGACTCATGTAAACACTATTAACAAATTAACATTCCTGTTACATTTGACAAACACAACAAATCAAAAACAAGGAATTTGAAAAAAACCATTCTCATAGACTCCTCTTTAAAACAAATATAATTGAAAAAATATTGCCACTGCACATTAGCTCACCTGTGTTAGAATGTAAACAATTTAAAACAAACACAGCCACTGAAGAAATGTTGCTGTCAGCACTAATATTCATATGTTTTCTGCATAAATATTAAAATCTTATAGGAAAATTTAATTATTAGAACAAAATATGACGTCATCATAGGAGATACATACATGCCAAAGTTCTGCTTCCTCGGGTTTAGAGAAGAAGTCAAATATGCATTTTGAAAGAATTTAAGAACATGCTCAAAACATCAACATTTCTGAGTAATGTCCAAAAGAAGTTTCAGCTTTCAGAATGATTGAAGCAAAACATCAAATCAAGGTAAAAACGTAATATATCGCGAAAACCGGAACATATGTATTGAGTCACACTGCTAACTACATATTTACCAAATTTCATTTCAAATGAAATGGTTGAGAAATGGTGATAAATAGCTTTTAGTCAGATTCAAACCCACTCTCCTACCCAGAGTTCCATGCGGCCGGCAGCCAGCTAGCATAGTACCTCTGCCACAGGCCAGCGCCATGTGACGATTCGTCACATCTTTCACAGTCCAGTCAAGATATTGCATATGCTTTTCATCCGTTTCATGTTTGACAAGTCTACACATTTTAATAAACAAATGTCAAAGAATGGTTAACTTTCATTGAGAAAGTATGCAAATACGTAAAAATCTACTTGTTTTTGCGTAGTTATCCTATGTTTACATTGGTTGTACGGCTCCACGTGCTGTCATCGAAGCCCAACGGAGAACTAGCGACACGGTCACTTTGATGCATAAATATATATTGTCATGCAAATCACTGTCGCAGTTGTAGTAGCATATCTATATAATTATGCAAAACAATATGTAAAGCGCCCCCAAATACTTGCATTAGTCCGTTCTATACTGATTTCTGAAAAAGCGTGTTTGTTTACAAACAAGAGAAAAGTCTGGTCACGTGATATGCAAATTAGCCTGTGGCAGTGGTGTTATGCTGAGTCACCACTGCGACGGAGTGTGATTCAAACCTGGTGGGAATAAGCAAGTGCAGTTTCAGCTTCATCGGTCCAGTGGTTTCTGAGGGGATAATGAGTTAAGCCTTTAATGGGTTTTCAATATGGCTGCAGTAGTGGGAACAAGCAAGTGAACAGCTTCATCAGTCCAGTGGTTTCTGAGAAGATGATTATATAGGCTGACAATGACAGAAGCTGTATATGCGGGCCATTTAATATTTTTAATATTAAAACTAAATTTCATTTTTATTTCCATAGGTCTAATTGCTATGGAAACCTCCGTGAATGCCTCATGAACCTACCTTTGACATTTACTCTAATTTGACAGAAACTTTAAAACCATTTTCAAAATAGTGTACATGTCATGCACCTGGGTGACCTGAGTATAATGTACAATTGATAGAATGAAAGAGTTAGGATAAAGATGTCTCAATGTTGACAGTTATCGAAAACAAAAATGTGATTACAAAAACAATGTCACAGATCTCAAAGATATCACATCTGAGTATGTCATGGTACATTCCTCCCTCACATAGAGCATAGAAGCAGAGCATGGCAGAATACAGGCTAGGTTCAAACCTGTGCATGAGACCCACCACTACACACACCTCGGATACAATGAACACAATGGAACATACCAAGGTCAGTAGTTTTCCATGTTAACTTTGAAGATACTCTGCTCCTATATTTTAAAACCTTTTTATCTTCAGTTCATGGTCCTGGGATAAACTACACCAGAGGTAATTGTCTTCCTTTTCTTTCATCTATTGTAGTCATTGACAGGAAAAACCACAATGAACAACTTCTTCTGATGGCTTGCACTTACAGCAGCTCTCTTCACCTTAGCGTGGCATCAGCATAAACAAAGAATGTAATTTTAAGCATGTTTACAAAAACAAAGCAAAATGGTTTCAAGAAATATATAGCGACATTAACAAAGAACATTACTTTCAAACAAAGGAAGTTGTAGACATTATACATTGCAGCAGCATCAAAGCAAACAAAACAGCAAACTCAACATGAACACATGCAGGTAATAACAATGCTTCTTATCATTTCTACATCAACAAAGCATATAAGTAATGGAAAAGAGGAAGACTAGCTTCTAGCACTTCCATTACACTGTGTTAGGGTCTTGTTAGGGGCTTGCCAGGTTTGTAAAGGGGAGTTATGGGGCCCTGTTTTTATGTCAAGCATCACATATCTCAGCTAAAACAATGTGAACAAGAAAGTGTTTGTATTACATGAACAAATGGAAAAACTGCAGCACTACTTTTACCTAAATGCCTCCAAATGTGTAACGTTCCTGTCCCAACAATTGCTATTTGCCAATAATAACTCATATTCACAAAAAAGAACATACACACTGCAAAACAACCTTAAATCAAGAGTTCCATGTATCGAACAAACTTTTGAATAATTCATGACAGTGACCTCAAAATTTAAGTGATGAGTCAAAATAATTGTGTTGATTAACAAGAAAAGGGCACATACCACTCATCACAAAATATTAGATTTGCTTTTATTCATGTAAGTTTTGGTCAGGTTATTTTTGGGGGCACATTTTTTTATTATCTGTCTGTGATTTGAGGACACCTCCCTAGGAGGTCATGTTAGGTGAACTTTCTAATCAGCCAATCAGCATCAAGGCTTCTAAATTCTTGGTACAAGTGAGCAAAGCATATCATGGATTTATTTAGGATTCTAGAATTCTAAGTTCCCTTGGCAGGCAAATTGGGAAAAAATCCTAATTTTCATAAAGTTGGAACTTATTTCCCTAAATTCAGAGGTATGTCAACATTGCAATTATGTAAAGGCAAGCATTAAAATCTCTTCCTGTGTATTGGTCCTGCTATCAGTGATATACAAGTGAACTCAACAAAGCCATAACATTAGTTCTAACTTTATTTACAAGATTTGGAAATTATAATTCTAATTTGAAAATTACTGACCTTTCTGCAAAATTAGGGCCGAATATCTGCCTCTAAAGCATATCAGGTTATGTATCACGAAAACAAACTAAAACATAATTTCTGAATGTAGATGAAATAAGACAATCATATTGCTGTAGATATTTTATGTAACCTGTTGTTTCTGAGTGCAATGCACTGGCAGATCCAGAAGAGGGGTGCGCACACCGACACTGTTTCAGGCATCTTACATGTTAATGGCGACCTCGGCCCAATCACTTGACAAAGTTCGCTTCTAAAGGCAGAGAGGTATCATATCGGAGTACTAGATCTGATCTTAATAACATTGATCTTTGGCAAAAGAACATCGCTCTTTCAAACTAAAGCCCCCAAATGTCAAGTTTAGTCAAAACATAAAGTGTCAAGTTCTTTACCGGGTATATAAATCATAATCATGTGCATAATCATGAGCAATGTCAATTCTAATTGCAAACAAAGGTGGTTCTACAAAAAGAAAGTCTTTTTACAATACTGTGACATAAATTCTGACTCATTCTATTAACAAAACATTTGAGATCTGAGTGAATGACCTTGACATCTAAAACAACCTTGACAATATAGACAAGTACTGATAACAGAGATGAAAATGAGTTTTTAAAAAAAAGAACACTGAAAGATAGACGGTGATATGGGGAATATATGATTTATAAGTATATTGTGATTCGTTTTGTAACGAAATCCACAGAATTCCTTTGATCTGCAGAAAATTCTCATTCCTGGATAAAGATATTTATAGTTTATTTACACAAACTGAAATATGCTTGGTTTTACTGGTCTTCTTGTGGCTTGCGCCATGTCTTATAAATGTAACCCCACATGACATCTAATCAGATTTAGAATCTACCGAAGACATCACGCATGGTGCAACTTAACATGTACCATACCAGCCCGAATATTGATAACTTCTAAGGACTGAAATTTAACCATCCCCCAGGGTACCTTTACCATCAGCCTCAGTGACAGATACCCTGGTAGTGCCAATATGCATCCCGGCATCATGTAAGGGACTGCTGACCATTTGATATTCTGGTGGGGCCTGGCATTTTGCATCAAGATGAGATACTTTTTCAGCTACAGCAACAAAACTAGATATCTATTAGCCTGATTTAAAAAAAGAGTAAAAACACCTTGCAACAATGTAATTTTTATGGCAGCTTATTTATTTTATTTTTTTTCAACTGTCTGAAGCATCATTATTTTTTTCATGAATTTGGGGGGAATATAATATTAAATGGTCAGCTCCTAAGACAGATTTTGGAAGATCATCATATATACTGGTATGTGACTGTATATATACTGCAAATAATGCAGTGCATGGTGATATAATAGTCCCATTTTCAAAGGCACGCAATAAAATTTAAGCCATGTACAATTGACCATGCCATCAAACACTATTCCCAGAGAAATTGTCAAGATTATATTAATCATGGTTATGCAAAACAATGAAGTTTTGAATATATCCATGTAGATGTTTTCAACATAATGTGAGAGGACACTGTCCAAAGGGGCACAATGGAAGTCACTGCTGCCTTGCAAACAGAAGCAGAAACAGTCTTCATTGAACTTAGAAGCATATCAACAAAACAAAACAAATCTTCCCTAACCCATTTCATCATCTTCAGATCTGGAATCATTAACAATGTGTTTAAAATTCAAGAAACAATATATACTGTACAAGTACAACCAGTGATTCACAGCTTCAGGATGACTGCGGGTCTGTCATCCATTTGTGATGCAATGACATGGTTTTTGTACATGCTCATTGTAAAAAAATCAAATGTGCATTTCTTAAACAAGACAATGTTAATTGTTATAAGCAAACTTGGCAAATACATCTTCTATTATTGAAATACCTGCATGTAGGGAAATCAGAACATTACTGGTATCGGTCAATACTCAATATTAACTTTAATCATCTTTCTGCAACAATACTGGTGAAAAATATTAAGGAAAGAACATTAAAGATATTGGTGAAAAACAACTTGAGTTGCACAGTAAACAAAGAACAAAACCAGCAGATATGCAAAATGGTGAAACAGGCAAGAACAGCCAGATATACTGAGTTAAGAGTCAACAAGGACAAAATAAAAGTATATTTAGTAAATGAGTATAAAATTAAATTTTTCACTGAAAGTCCTGCAGTCACAAGGTGTTATCTTCATGCTGGTATCCCTTCACAAGCCACATGTACATCACTATCTGGGGTCATCATGGGAGTACAAATAATCCCACTTGTACCAACCTCAGTCAGCCTACTGTCAGGAGGTTGTGGATATCTGTACAAAGCTTGCATATGAGTCGGACACGAAACAAATTAAGTAATCATCAAGGAAATGAGACTTCAGCATAACATCGGGGGCTACTACACCACATTAGAAGTGCCCATGTCTCAAAAAACACAAGCCTAATTTACATGGCAACTTAATTTACTGTTCGTTTCATATAATCATAGACTTTACCAGGTAACTTTTCCCAATATTCGCAGGTTAAAGTTCTTCATTGCTTGCGGAGAATATGTTTGGGACGTCGGAAATCTGCAACCACGGTTTATGGTCAAAGGGAAATAACTCTGTAACCACTTGAATGCACATATGTATACACAATAGTTTGTTTAGCAAATCTTATCAACGTGGACAGCCATGGGTGGTGGATATCCTGGTATCCCAATCTATCATTCCAGTTAGCAATAATCCAATAATTGCGATTAGACATCTGCAGGCTTAAAGTATATTTTCCTAAATGTCTTTATTTCCAACTGCAGACTTAAGGCTGGGCTTGTGTGGTCTTGTGACTGCAGATAGAAGTACTAGGTTGCATGTACCAGCTCTAACAATGTCTAATTTACAGATATGATACACAAAACAGTAAATATACAACAATGCATATATTTAACAAATTATGTTATACCACAGAATGTACATGCGTTATCAAATAATATAAGATAGCTACGCGATAAATTGTAAAGTTTATTGACATTCTTTAAGAGGCTGTAAATAATGTTGGTATCATGTATAAGAAATAGATGCCCCTCGTTTATATTCCATGCAGTATTTTATTGTACAACAAACAACTCCCCCTGGTCGTTTATTTCTTAAATATCAAAATATCATTTCATTGATGATTAAAACGCAATGTTTACATAAAATATACTTGTCATACATGTACCAACACTTCATTGCTTTTAGATCACACAGATTACACTCAATCAGATAACCATACTCAATCTGTCAGATCCTGAATATATTAACTGCTTATGGTTAGCTACATCAAAGGGAAATAACAAATGTCAATCTGCATTTACAGTTAGACATGCCATACTTCAGCATTCATACCAAATACATATGGAATGAAATGGAACAATTGTTGCCATTTTCTAAACATAATAAATTGTATTATCTCTGTAATAATTTAACATCAATGAAAATAATCAAAACATTTTTAACAACAATAAATCATTAAAAGGCATAGCATCTTTAATCAGACCAATGTGTTCAGTTTGACAATATCCTTCAGATCGGGCACATTATCCACATTGATCTTCCTGGCCTTTAACTCCTGTAGCCTCTTCTCAAGGTCTTGTTTGTCCTTGCCCAAAGACCAGCACAGACGGATGGACAGTTTGATGAGGGCAATACTGGGTTCATCCACCACTGGGTCATTGGTGCTCTTTAGTGCAACCTCGGCATACTTCTGAGCCTTGTTCAGTTTCTCTATTGCATGATAACACACAACCAAGGCATGCAGAAGGGAGACAACTCTTAGATGACCACCACCATACAGTTTTTCACACACAGGTAGACATTTCTCAAACAGAGAAATTGCTTCCAGATATTGTTCACTGCATAACAATGAGTATCCTTCTTTTGCATCGTTAAGGTAGAAAAATGCTGCCAATTCATTTGAGTACCGCAACTCGTAAACTGAAAACACATGGCTTAGATATTGCTCAAAGGATCTGCTCCGATGTGCAATGGTTTCACTGCTAAAATTACCAACTAACAATTTCCTTGGAAAAGATACATCTTCCATAATGTGGGGGTGCTTTTTTTTAAGTACTGAGTTGAGTTTCTCAAAGTCTGAATATCTACGGTCAACCGTGGTTGGCAACCTTTCCACGCCAGAGCTGCTGGATACCAGGATTGTGTATAACTGAAACAATGTTGGTGAATTCAGGTTACCATGGTTATGAATCGTCAAGCACATGTTAACTCATCTTATCCTAGGTTGCAGTAATTTGTAAGTAAGTTGACAAAAATGCTGTCTTTTCAATTCCATTCTAGTAAATGTTCCTTTGTGGAAGAAGATCCATTCAATCTTAATATATATGGGAAGCTGAACAGCATGAACAGACTGATGTGGAGCAGTATTGCTGCATGATGTGGAGCATGTTCAAAGCACATGGTATGAATGTGACAAGGTAGGAACACAATGTCACAATATTAATGACTGAAACTTAATATAAGTAAAATCTAAATATTTTTTACATTTGTATATCTATCCTGCATTACTCCTTAATGCATTTATTGCTGGGTTTTTTTACAGAAAGATGAAGGTGTGAGAGGGGCAGCTGCTGAAGAAGTTGCTCCAACCAGTAGCGTAGCAGTACCCACAGCTGCCACAGCTGCCATGTGACCTGGAAGTGGCGATGTCCTGTATGAGCACATTACTGCTTTAGAACGTACACATCTGACGACTTTGAGGGGGAGGTAGCACTGCGACAGGAGGGCACTTAGACAAAGTAATGCATGATAAGTATATGTACAAATGTAAAAAATATTTAGATTTTACTAATTTTTTTAACTTATCCAGCATCACTCCTTAAAGCATCTTCATCAGACGGTACGGAGGAGGGCATATCTTCTGATGTGATCCCAAGTAAATCCTTGTCAAGGTCCAAGTAACCAGTGCAGTAACCAGTGCAGCAGCCTGAGCGATGACAATGACCATTCCTGTCAGAAGGAAAACGAGAGAGTGAAGAAAACGAGAAACCCATGTAAAGGAACAGTAATAGAAAAAAGCGTGAGCCAGAATCTAAAACTCACCTACCAAGCTAATTCAGAAAGCATGTGAACCCTCTAATCTGGGCTCACAAAAAACAGAGAGTTCAATGGGCCAGCTTGCAGGTCTGAGAGAATCAATGACGTCAGGGGTTTGTGACATGTTGTGCCACCACCAAGAGACCAAAACTATGGACGCCAGCAACATCCTCTAAGGCCACATCACGTAGATAATGGCTGGCAAAGACGGTATCAGTGCACTAAATACACCCTTCCATAATAGACTTGATGAAGCAGTTGCTATGGAGAGCCATGCAATGGTTATTTGCTTACAATCCGCTTCTTATGCCTGGAGAATGACTGCCTGCAGCCAAATGGAGATAGTATTACAGTTAACCTCTGTCTGCGAAGTAGGAAAAACTGGCATAAAAAAGCGTTTCCTGAACATTGTGTTTTCGAATGTCTGAAGAAACATCGCAAATCACGCACTTGGCATTACAAAAGTTCCCTTTCATCTTCTAATCCCATGATCGATGAGATGGGAGAGATGGTGAATGACCTGTCTGCGCAGGGAGTTGATTCTTGGCAATGAAATCCCAGCAGAGCCAAAGATGAATGGCCACATGAGCTCCATGTTCACACCAGACACTGTAGACGTCTAAGGCATGTAGCTTGCTAATCCGAGCTGCCATAGCCAGGGGGAAAAAAAACAACTTTTTCTTGATGAGGTCATAAAAATAGTTAAAATAGTAGAGCCTCTGAGGTGACTATGGCTGCGTAGGAAGAATAAAAATTCAAATTGGGGTGAAGCCCTTGTGTGGAAGGACTATGTGCCAAGGCTATGGCCTTGGCCGCCCTCAATGAGTAGCCCTTGACACTTAAGGTTCTCTTCTTATGTACCAAGCGTGCAGACGAAACCTGTCGGGGGTAGGATGCAGTAACCTGCTGTGTGGGTGGAGCAGTAGGTATGGCCAAACCGTAAGTTCAAGAGGATCATCCCTGGCAAGATTTCTGAGCTCAACAAACCAACTTCTCCCCAGTCACCAAGGTGCGACCAAAATCAGAACTAGGTTCTGAGTTTCCCTGATCTTTTGTAAAACCCTGGGAAGGAGTACCAGAGGTGGAAAAGCGTATGCTTTTAATCCTTCACAGTGAACGCTGAGAGCATCGATCGCCAGTGCTTGCGGATCCTGAACTGGACTGATTAATTACACAGCTGGATGTTTTGACTATGGCAAATAGGTCACTGCTGAGATGGTCGATCCGTCGGCAAATCATGGTGAAAACCTCAGGATGTAACTTCCATTCTGTGGGAGCCACCCTGTCCAGTCAGGACACCGCATACGCCAACACGTTCCGGCACCCTGGAATGTGTTGAACTAGGAAGTGCAGGTCGAGAAGGTCTACCAAATTGGAAGAAGCTGAATGTCTAAGACAGCAGAGAGGAGGAGTGGAGAGTCCCCTGATTTCACAGACTCTCTGTGTGTGTGTGTGTGTGTGTGTGTGTGTGTGTGTGTGTGTGTGTGTGTGTGTGTGTGTGCTGATGCCGATTTATAGTGCTAGCACAGAGATACCATGCTGCAGTTTAACATGAATACCCCACTCAGACACAGTATACTAACTCCGAACCAATCAGTCCTTGTTTTAGCCCTTAATGTTGAGCGCCAGACAGGGTAACAACAAGTACCATCTATTAACGTCTTTTGGTATGACGCGGCTGGGGATCGAACCCTGGACCTGCTCTCCGGGCGGGCGCTCTACCACTAGACCACGGAGGCAGTCTCGATCCTATTAGGGTTAGTCCTGATCAATAGCCGTCAAGGACGAGGCAAGAGTTGAGGGGGGCTTAAGAAAACGTAGAATTTCCAGAGTTGTTGAGGGACAGTCGAGTATCGGGCATGCGGATCATCACAGGCTTCGATGAATGGGTCATTCAATTGAAGGTCGTGCCATTAACCACACCAAATAAGTGAACCAGGAAGTCATCCTGCTGATAACTAAGTTCTTTAAAAGACAGAGTGAGTGAGAGCTTCGCAAAGTCCTCATCGAGCGCCGAGATGAGAACTGTTAACATAGGATCTGAAGGAATGGACATTTGGTGGGACCAGATTGTGTCCTTGTCCACGTCTGGTCTTGGAGATGGCACTATACAAGCCAACCTATCCTCCATCCAATCAGCAACTTGATTCATCCCAAGATGTGAGGGAGGGTCAAAGTCAGGGATGAAAGCTCCCTCAGGGAACTTAGAGTGGTTATCACACTCCTTCCTACTGACGGGAGAATAGATCGACGTACCGAGGCCATGGACGTAGCATATAAACCTTCTAGTCTGGGTGACATGCACCAGAGAGGTCGAAAGGTCGGCCCCCATCATTGGGAAGAGTCAATGGCACTTCAGGGAGGTGATTTGCTGGGCAACCACCAAAGGGCTAAAGCTCTGAGTGCCTTCCACGTATTCAAATTAACGTCTCATAGGTAGTGGCAGGCGAAGACTGTGTCCGGAATTCAGGCAAGAATTAGGGCAACACAGAGGGGAGATCCTGGTGTTTCTCCTTGCAGAAACTCTCATAAGAGCGCCACTTGTCGCCATAGAGATGATTGACTTCGCTGCCCTTGCCAAGTAACCTTTGGCCCTTAGGGCTCTTTGCAGATGTAAAGATGAAACCTGTCCGGAGATGGGTAAGGCAGCCTGCTGTGAGGATGGATCAACATGTTGGGCCAACCTGGCAGTTTGAGGGCCTTGATGGAAGACATCTTCTTGTGATCCACGAAGCAGCCCCTTGCTGGCCACCAAGAGCTATCAAAATCAGAGGAAGGCTCTGGGTCGATCTATTCTTTGGAAGGACCCTGGACAAAGAGGAGATCTAGGTTGGTCTGGAAGAGGCCGCCTATTAATTGCAGGTTGAACGAAGGCATGAGCTCCGACTTCTGCATGTTGAAGATCCAACCCAGCTGATGAGTAAAATCCCTGTGGAGGATGAGAGTTGCCATGTTCTGGTGGTTCAGGAAGCAATTGTCTATATACTCCTCAAATTGAATGTTCCTCAGGTCGAGGAAGGTGGCTCTCGTTTTGGTGATGCATGTATATAGCTGAAAATGCCAAATGGGAGCACTGCCCATTGATAATGGATACCATTGAAGATGAGAAACAGAGGAATTTCTTGTATCTGGGATGGATCGGCACATAAGTAATCGTCCTGGATGTCGAGGCTGATCAGTGAATCGTTGGCCTGGATTTTGGACTTAACCAGCCTTAATGCAGACATGTGGAAATTATTCTGAGTAAGTCCGAGACGTTCTTGGGGACAAGGAATATTAGGGAGTTGAAGCCTGGTGTTTTTGCCGGGGAGTGTAAATCTCTATGGCCTCTGGCAGCATGTTGTTGTTTGTGAGGTGTAGCTGCTGTTGAGTAGGGGGGGTAGGCATCTGCCACAGATGACAACATCAGAGGTGGGTAGTTGCTCAGTGAGAGCCAATATCTCTAGCGCAGGATGTTGGTGACGCATGGGTCCCCCAGGATGTCCCAACTCTGCCAATCGTGCCCTAGTCTCCCACATGCAGGAGTTTCAACAACAGGATGGGAGTTCCCAGTCATTGGTGTCCATCGCTTCATCATTTGCCCTTGTGGTCCCTGCTCCTGCTATGAGAACAGTCCCAGCATGGCCTCTGTTACAAAAAGACCAGCTGTTTCATCCACGTGAGTACGTTTAGATCTCGTCATACAGTGAAGGTCGTCATCTAAGATGTGACATGTCAAAGGCGTGGTTCGGAATGCCATCTTTCTTTGCATTGTGGTGCTTTGAAAGAGGGAGTGAGAGACAACTTGGAGAAGTCCTCATCTAAGGCCGCAATCATATCCTTGCTCATTGGATCTGGAGGCATGGGGTGACACCAGATGGTTTATTTTTTGTCAACATTGGGTCCCTAAGACAGAGCAACTTCAGCTAGGCAGTCTGTTAACCAGTCGGCATCTTGATTAAGGCCGAGGTGAGTGTTCATGTCCAGGGGAGAGCCTTCGTAAGCCAGGACATATGAGCCTTACAATGAACCAGAGAGATATTCCTCAGAGTGCTGAACAGGAGATCGGCTCCAGGAACAGCATCTAGAGCATGACAATTTGACAACTACGATGTAATGAGGAGCCAGGATAGGCAGAACTCTCAGAGCAGGTAGAGTGGACTGTCAGGGCACCACCAAAATCTACAGGAGGCGCCGTCTGAGGCGCCGGGAGCGTCACTGAGACCTGAGGTGCCAGGGGTGCCGACAGCGTTGCAGAAGACAGAGGTACTAGAGGAGCTGGGAACCGAGGCCAGGATGGATCCATATAGGGCACCTATGGAGGTGCTGGATGAAAAGCTGCAGGTCCGAATAAGCTGACAGTTGATGATCGCAGAGTCGTCGGCACCAAGTCTAGTGTCATCGTAGTAGTCAAAGAAGAGTATATCAGCACAGAGGGTAGAGGAGTCAACAGTGTAAGGGATGTCTTTAAAATGGAAGTCAGCATCTGAGCAGGGGAGGAAGTAGTAGACGATATCTCCAACGAAGCTGCACAAAAAAGGAGTGGAAACTGGAGGCTTCTCACCTCAAGAGGAGGAGACCGTGACTGGTGGGAGTGACATCTTCAAGTTTACAGGCCTGTTGTGTCTGTTGTTTCCAAGATACCTGGAGATCACTGTGTAAGAAAGTGGGAGACAAACGCTACACTTAGTAGCCGTGGAGCAGATGTCAGTACAGTTCAATCACAAAGGATAAGGATCCCACACAGACTTATTACCATGGCACTTGGTACAACGTAGCATGTATCTGCAATGATAGCAGAGGTGTAATCACAATGTGTTCTCAAACCCATTGTGTATTCTATAATCTCAATCCCAACCCTGTGGGTTTAATAATAAGCTTACAAAAGGAACGCGAAAAACCACCATTTTAATAACAATAATATACCATAAATAAATTGAAATACCAAGCAACACAAACAATACAGACTGCATGACACAAAAGAAACGTGACCACGCAATGAAATCAAAATGGCTAATTGGATCAACATGTGGCTGATATTTACCGTGATAAAAAGCCACCATCAAGCATTAAATATTAAAGTAATGGTAAAAGTCTTATGAAATATAGAAGACACAAACCATGAGAAGAGTATAATTCACAAGAACAATAGTGTTGTTACAACACGCAAAGGATTCAAATGCATAACAGCTGAGAGCTCAAACAGCTGACTGTTCTCTTGAGGTGACAGCAGTAATGTGCTGATCAGTGACGTCATCACTTCCATGGTCAAGTGGGAGCTGTGTGATGGGCTAAACCACACAACCAGTTGGAACAACTTTTTCTTCAGCAAGACCCCACACAGCTCTTCTCTGTCAAGAACAAGCAGTAAATAAAAATAATTATATTAAGTTTCAGACATTAATATTGTGACATTGTGTTCCTACCTTGTCACATTCATACCATGTGCTTTGAACATGCTCCACATCATGCAGCAATACTGCTCCACATCAGTCTGTTCATGCTGTTCAGCTTCCCATAGGGTGTCTAAAGAGCCTTCAGTAACAAACCTAGACAGGTGACTGGGCATATTCTTGAATGAACTAAAGTGAGCCAAACATTCCTTGCAAATATGTTTGATAAGATAAACATCTCAATAAACTATATTAGATGAATACATGACACTTTTTATGGATCGCAATTTGACAAAGAATAGAAGTAGTTGCTATCCATTTTCTTCTCATTTTGCCTACTTACTAGGTCTAGAATACAGAATATCAGATACCTTTCGCCATATTGGTAACGAATGTGCACAAGCTCCTTCCTTAGAACCGGTTTCTAAGTTTCTTTGCCACCATTTTTAGCTGCCTCACAAAAATAACGGGGTTTGGGGGGCTTAACGCACACACCCACACACACAACTTGAAATAAATGCTATCGTAAGGAAATGTCATTTTTAGTTTCCAATATGTGTTTGTTTAAATAAGTCCCAAATGGATGTCACTGATGAGGTAGCCACATGCCATTATGTTTTAGGAATATTTCAAAGTCCGATTTTCAATGTTGATGAATTGCTTTGATATTCAGTTCTAAGGTGTGTTCACATGAAACACTACAAATGCAAGTGGTGGCATTTTTCTGCTTATTTTGAGTTTCATTGCCCTATTATAAAAAAAAGTCATGCTGTCGTATTCTGCTATATTTATAAGTAACATACAAAACCATGGCAGATGAATATCAAGTATTCTGAAGGTGAACCTGATCTATAAGTCATATGACTTTATGCCCCTGGCATTATTGACATTGTTTATAATTTCGACATCTGCTCTGACACCACAAGGCAATATATGCTAGTATATAATGTCAACAATGGGGTTACTAATATAGTCTAATAGTCATGATAATCTAATCATCATGTAACATATTCAAGCTGCAGGAGAAACAGGTATACTCTTTGGTAGGGCTCACTATTGGGGCTAATTTTACTATTGTGATTGTATAGCATTGGTAGGAAACCAACTTTAAGGCTTGATAATAAAATAAATCAATGAAATAGAAATGAACAAAGTATTAATGACAATTTCAAAGATGGATATTTTCAGCCATGTCATTACTCAAACCCAAGGAAAGTACCTCTAATCTGAAGTTGTTGTAATCCTTGCTAACCAACCACTCAGGCAGATTTGAAGCGAATAATATATGCCTTACTTATTAATATAAGATAGCTACACGATAATTTGCAAAGAACAATGAAGAAAGAAGGGTAGTTTATTTCACAATAAAACACTGTTCTGTTATGACGTCATTTCTGGAGACTCAAACATGCACACGCAACTTGATGATGTCGTATACTGGGCAACATTTTTTTTGAGAGGGGAGAGTCTACAGAGTTGTTCCCCACAGATGTACCTGGGCAACGCAGATAAACGCTACGGCCAAATGGTCACATCCAAAAGCGGGAGAGATATGACAATCCGTATTGGGAGAAAAGGTACAGGTAATCGACGGGAAGATTGTAAAATGTGGGAAATACCCACCTGTGCATAAAATGGACTTGTCCGACATTGCGGAGGTCAGATTCCATTGAGGGGGTCCTCATTATTAAAATATCCTGCACCACTCATGGCTTTTTGCCCCTTCAGTGTTTTATTGTATGATAAACAACTCCCACTCGTCCTTTATTTCTAATTGTAACTATTGAGACTATTGATTGTTATGCAGATTATCGATGATACTATTGGTATATATAAATTCCTGTTGACATATTACTATCATAGGGCAAACAACTGCGATACTTCATTATATATTGTTACATTCCTACTCCTGGGAACACTCTCTGACACACATCCCATCTACAGACACACTCAACACAAAAACAAGAACTTGCTGATGTAGCATTTAACATAGCAGTACTGGCTATCTCATCTCAAAAACTATTTCTACTACCGACTTACAACATAGCTGGATCTTTGATCTTTAATAACCTCAGCGGATGTCACTTCAAATGCAACATGGACAGTCCCTGGTGGATCAACATTGAGAGGCAACAAGTGTGGGGACTGAGCATCTGCAACAGTTAAAAGTCAAACTGACAAATAAGTTCAAATTATCAACACCTAACTTGAAACTAATCAACTCATTTGTTACTTGCAATGGTGCCGACTTGTCAGCACTGCACATCTAACTAAGAAATAAAGTTCGCTCTACCCCCAAGCGTAGTGTAATAAAGTATAGTTTTAGTATTATTATAGTTAAAGCATTGACGTTACATTAGTTCAGGGCAAAACCATACTTTATACTACACATGGGGGTAGAACAAACTTTATTACTTTGCTAAGATGCTGAATGTAATGCTAACCTTGTGCTTTATTGCAGATAGGTTTAAAATAAAATCAGTAATAGACAATGCTGTAAATTGAAAATCCTTGAACTGGCAGGCTGTTCAACCAACTTGCCTCCACCCTTGTTTTAAAGGGGAAGTGTACACGCAAAAATCACTTTCTTTCTTTTTCTAAACAAAACGCAATTTTAGAATTAATTAGTATCTGTGTTTGAAAATATACACTCATTTTTTTCACAGTGAAAGTAGGAAGCTCACAATAGTGTGAAAATGATATGCCGTTATGAGGCCTTCGTTTTTCGAGCTAAACAGGCCTGAGTTATCCCCCTTAGATTATGACGTAATTGGTGCCAATTCAACTGGGTCCCTGTCTATTCTCAACGCAAAAGATATCAAGTACCAGTTTGCGGTAAAACAACATGGCCTACGACACACTCCGGCGCAGTGGTGACTCAGCATAACACTATGCTGGCTGGCATCTGAGACGCTAGAATCACACACCTGTACCTACACCACGTGAAGCGGCTCTAACAAAGCATGATGACGTCATAATGTTTATCAATTGGCACCAATGACGTCATATTGCAAGGGGCATAAGCCATGGTGTTTTTGTTGTGGAAATAGAACACTTGGTAAATGTGAAAAATATAAATCGTTTTAATGCGAAAAATATGTTAATTAATTGTGATATTTTTATATTTTTGTCTTTGACACTTCTAGGTTATCACTTTTAATGTGGAAAAAGTACAAGAAAAATAGGTTAATTTCCGTGTGAACTTGCCCTTTAAGTGAGTGAGTGAGTATGGTTTTACACCGCTTTTAGCTATATTCCAGCAATATCACGGCGGGGGACACCTGAAATGGGCTTCACACATTGTACGTTACTATAAGAGACACAGTATGTAATAAACATAATACAACACCACACAAAAGGGTAGTTTATAGTTAACTAAATCACATATAATCCGTTCAGTGTATGATTATTTATAAACCTATCAAGCAATGAGAAGGGTTTAAAGCTCTGTTTATTGATTAATTTGCTTAACTTAAATCACATGATGACCAAGCTAACAGATGCCAACATAGACATTCTGTGTCACTGGTTCTTGTGAGTTGAGGTGTTTTCTGTTACAAAAGTTGCAACTTTGTTTCCCCCACTAATGTTAGCCACTAATATGATGTATTGGTCGCCATGAGACGAACTTGGTGAAGGAAGAGCTGTTTTATTTGACTGCAGTATGTTGCTAAATGCCCTACACTGAGCAATAGGTGCACACCTGGTTATGAAATGTTTGAAAAAATGCTTTTTCCAGTGTCCAGAGACAGACATAATTCCTAGGGCACCAACGCCTGCCTAGGGAAACTTTGTAGCTACTGTGGCACGAACACAGTGGTTTGAATATGTCTGGCATAACTCCCTGGTATGAAAGATGGTTGACATCATCATGCCATATTTCAGGGAATAACATTCAATTATTTGACAAGTTTAAAGAAACTATTACACTGATTGATAATTGATGTGGATGTGCCATCTTGCTTAAGAGTAATGCAAGAACAATGTTACCAAGGATACTTAAGATCATGCGGGAAGTACTTTGAACAGCGTCATGATATCAGACCGACAGACAGACAGTTTATTCAGTAATTTAGGCATCAAGACCCATAGTACAATGCAGATGATGTACATGATTAGATTTTAAATCTAGTTACACATTCCTCATTGTAAAGACATGTTTCACGAATACAGAAACAGCATGGATCATATCAGGAATTTCAGAGTTTAGCAGATTTATCATTAACTGACGGTCTTTAAAAATACCTTGCAACATTGGGAGAAATTTATACCTTAAATGGGAATATGTTTCAAATGGGGACATGGTATTCATCCTCTACATGGTATTCATCCTCTACTTCTCCAGATGAACAGTGTGTACAAATAGAGTTCACAATATCACCGTCTTTGGACCTGCGACATACATTTACATTAAAATTGTGCAATGAAATTCTAAGTTTATAATAAATCTCTGATTAAACTTTTATCATTTAAACAAGTTAAATATCTTTCAGTTTGTAACAATGATTTTACTTTGCTGTAATTGCTAAGATAAAGTGATTCAGAAATACTTTGGTGCCACTGTTGATAAAATATATCCTTTAGTTTATGCTTAAATGAATAGAGAAATAACTGTGGATCTCCCACATCTTGGGAAATCCATACATATGAAAAGCCGCTAGCAAATAATACATTTCTCACATCTGAAACCCAATTATTTTTACCATGATGTCAACTCATTATCAAAAAGTGCACTTTACTGCATCTTAGAAATTGTAATTCAGGACTTTCAAGATAAATTATTTCTGCTCTCCTTGTGATCTGTATCCAAAGTTCAGAATATTGCCATAATATAGAGTTGCTTCCCCTTAACTGATGGAATAAGGGATTTCTATCCAAAGTTTATTAGTTTTGAGAAAGATCAAAATAAGCATAACAAGGTAGTGTTATTTACAAAGAGTTTGTTCAAATCTTTGTTGCAAAGACAAGATTGCAGAGACTAGTTAGTACATAAAATATAGGTGTGTTAGCAGTTTTATTCAAATGGTCTTCCACTACCCTGCTACAACTACACCAGAAATATATGCTATGTATAAATAATAATATAAACACATTTTATGAACCAAAATCGAAAAATTGTCAACCTTAATGAAAATGTTGGTTTAACATGTTAAAGACATGGTCTAATCCTGCTTTGACTGTGTAGGCCAGTGACAGATTTACTGAGGTAAATGAGTTACCATTTGAGGTTAACTCAAATTAAGACTCACTAAATTCAGATCATAGTTCTCACTACCACTAAACAAAGATATGAAGACATCCCATTACGGGTCACGTCAGAATGACCTCCATCTGATCATTTAGAGCTTTACTTACCAGACCAGGAGAGTGACATTCGGAATGTATTTTCTAATCATGCAACCTCATAAAGGTTAACACAAGGTATTCCAAATCATAGTTATATGATTCTGACTCTGTCAAAACCATCGTCTATCACTCGCTTCAAACAGATAAACCTTGGAACGGAAGAGACTGTGCATTGCCAATGGGAAGTACTACCAGACAATCTCAGCCATCAATTAGACATCAATAATATTCATTTGTCCTGTTTTCAAATTTTGAATCAAGAATTTGCCAGAATATATTTCAAAGTGAAATAGCCAGTTTGAAACAAGTGCCCCATATAGCTGGAGAAAGCTGCTTTTTGAGTGGCTAATGCCAACTTCATGTTAGGGCATTTCATTGGTCTAGGTCATTCAGGCTTGACCCTTAATTGAATGTCCTCAGATCTTTGTTTAGCGGTAGCATGAATGAAGATCTGATTTTAATGAGATTGACTCAAACTAGAAAGGGACATCCATACTATCCATAGAAGGTGACTGCCTCATCAAAATGAAGGACACGTGGGTTCTGGAGCAAATCAGATGTCAACTTTCTAAAAACAATTGGCCTTCATTTCTTTACCACCAAAATTCTGAAATTTCAATCTCAGCATTTATATCCTCCATAGCACACGCTTTTCAGAAATTACAGGATGTATACAATATTCACAACAATATATCGGTGCTGCTTTCTTTGCAATCAAAGCTTCCAAATCACAATAGATTCTGAGATACAGAAATCAGATATGCTTGTCTGAATGAATCGCTTACTTGTTCTGAGAAATCACATGCCTTGATGCTGATTGGTTGATTAGAAGATTCACCCAACACAGCCTCATTTGGAGTTGTCCTTGGAACTTCACGCAGATTATCGGAGTGTAAGATCTAATTTTAATGAGATTGATAAGATGCCTTCCCTTCATTATAATTCTAAGGCAAAGTTTATCTTACTTCTTCATAATACTACCGTCATCAGTCAAAACAAACAAAAGAAAAAAATAGTCTATCCTGACCAGACACAGCCTAGTTTTCCTCAAAATATCTCAAAATCCTACATTTTCTACCGATCAGTGTCACAGTATCTACCGATCCGCGAGCAAGATTATATATCATTTCAGAAATTGCTACTGAAATTGAAAACAAATCATGAATTAATGAAGGTCCGTAACGACAAGTAAATTACCATATGTAGGTGTTGTAGCGTTGTTCGACTCGTCATCAGGTATCGTAAGGTCAAGTGTACCAGTGATGTTCACGGAAAAAGGATCTCGATCATCGTCGTCTGCAAGCACAGAATCTGGATCCTGTTCTCGATTTGCACGATCTGTGAAAGCTCTTTCTCTGCTTCTTTGGCCAAACTTCTTCAGAAATGACATATTGGCATACTCAAAATTCCCACATACTTGAAACCAAACAGTTATCAGCTATAAGGTAACTTCTGTATTGTCCTGTTTAGATCACGATGATATTGGACTTGTCAATCGCGAACCCAAACTTCCGGTCGGTCCGCAGAAATATAAGGGACCATTCCGTTCCTATTTAGATGTCTTTTGATAATAATATTTGCTCAAAAAATACTAACGTGCACACCTATCATCCACCATCGTTAAATACAAATTTAATATACATCCATAATCATTCAGTTACATGCTCTCACGTCATCAGTGGTATAATTTTCTCCAATCAAATTTTAAGAACGTTCCCTCCCTTCAAAATGGCGACGCTTGTAGAAGATAGTGCGTCCCTCGTTGATAAACACCGACTTGAAGGAATTTTAAAAGCATTACACGATCAAAGGACGGCATCTCGATTTTGTGATGTATTGCTCCGTGTTTGTGGGGAAGAAATATTTGCCCATTCTAACGTTTTGGCCGCAGCAAGTCCATATTTTGGATCTTTTCTGGGACAGGGACAAGACCTGCCGCGTGCATTTTCTCAAAAAACTCCTCAGGTCATTGAAATTCACATAGATGGCAGTGATGGAGACAGTGGATATGGAGAAGCTGTTAGAAAAGTGGTTGACTTTATGTACACAAGCAACATCTGTCTTAACCTTCGGATCCTTACTCAAGTCCTCGAGATATCGAAGATAATGCAAATGGAACACCTGACAAACTTTTGTGAACATTTCCAAAGTGGATTTAGGGGGCACAAGGTAATTCCTGCCAATGATACAAGTTTTAAGTATTCTAAAGTGGATGTTGGAACCTCTACTATTGCAAACAATGCTAATGATATCAAGACTGAAATTAGAGATGCAATAGTATTGCAACCAGCAGCCACTGCAAGGTCAAATGAAATCAAAGTTGAACGTAGCATAAAACAGGCAAAGAAACGGGGAAGAGGTAGACCTCGAAAAAGTAAAAAAGAAGAGGAGTCTGATGATGACTTTTCTGCCTTCATTAGTCTCATGGCTGATGAAGAGGATGCAGAAAAAGAGAGAGAAAGTCAAAATGACACAGATCAAAACAATGAAGAAACCGCTGAAGGTGTGGAAGAAGATATAGATGAGAATGAAAACAATCAGAGTACAATGAGGAGAACCCGTGGAAAGAGGCCAATCACCTCATACCTCACATCTACCAGGACTAGTGCTCGTCTGAGAAATAGTAGAGGTCCTCGATTCAGATCTGATTTCATCATGCATCCACTGAAAAGGGCACGGAGAAGTGCAAATAAGGTAATCAAGATTGAAAAAGAATCAAGGAACTGTGAAAACAAAGGTGCTGAAGAAAATGAAGACAATGAGGAAAAGAAAGAAGATGATGCTAATTTCATGTCAAAAGGGAGAAATTATACATGTGACAAATGTGATTTTAAAGCCAAACGTGTAAAAGTCCTGGCTGAACACAAGAAGAAACATCTTCATGCTGAGAACATCTGTAGTTTTTGTGACTACAAGGCAGAATCAGAAGAAGATTTTAAAGCGCATTTAGTTAAACATGACGGTCCAACACCATATTTTTGCAAGTTCTGTGATATCAAATTTAAAAGTAGAACCCAGTTAAATACACACTTACCAAAACACAGAGAGGATAAACCGTTTGTTTGCAGTTTGTGTGCAGCAGGGTTCAAATGGAAACATGCCTTAAAAAACCACATGATCACTCACAGTGTTACAAAGGATCACTTATGTGATATTTGTGGGTTTGCAACAGCACATAAAAGTCAACTGAAAGCTCACAGATTGATCCATACAGGAGAGACGTTTAAATGTGACTTTGAAGGATGTGGCTTTGAAGCAACAAAACGACAGAATTTGAAATACCACATGCTTACTCACACTCATGAAAAGCCCCACCAGTGTGAGATATGTGGTCACAGCTTTTCTCTTATAAAGAACATGAAGAGGCATATGCTGTTACATTCAGATGACCGACCACACAGCTGTGAACAGTGCAACTTCTCAACAACACGGTATGATAAACTCAAGGAACATATGTTAAAGCAGCACAGTCTTGGTGAGCCTCCTACCAAGAAACACAGGATATCCGACTACCACGAAGAGGAGAATGCGGTTGTTGCAGGTGCTGATATAATGACTCAGGCAACACTTCAAACAGTGGCTAACATAGCTGCAGTGTGTGCTGATGAGAATCAAGGAGAGACACAAATATTCTCTACTGTCGACGGAGTGCCCATTGTAGCACGGGTCCAGTATGCAGAGATCAACAGCCAAGGGGTTATACAATATGTAGCACAAGTGGAGTAGCCTTATCCATACAACAGTGATTAGAGCGATGTACAAAGCATGCAGAAAGTGCTGCAGTGAAACTACACTGTTATTAATGATTATTAGATTTTTGATTTTCTGATTCTTGTCTTTCTAGAGTGTCAAAAGTCCACTTACCTTGCTCACTGCCTTTTGAATCATTGAGTGACAATTTTGATAAGTCTAGGTTTTTAGAAAATGCATTTGCAGTAAATCATTGTTGTTACAAAACAAGTCTCTATGTCCAGGGACATTGGCTAATCATATCCAGGTTTGTCATTTTGGACTCCAGCGCACATACATGTGCATGTAAAAACAAACAAATGTACACAACGGCAATAGTATAATTAATAACAATACTAAACGTCCATTTTTGCATAAATGAGGCCAGACCAATTTAATTTTTGTGCTTTGATCGCTTTTTTCTGTCAATATGCCAAGAGGCACAAGGCAAATTAAGAACACAGAAAACAATTTCAGAGTTGAGCATGTTGATTTTTAGCTACATTTCTAAAAACATGAAGAAATAAAACAGCAAAAGAACAAACCAAAAGATGTTAACAAAGCACATTTTTAATCATACAACATTTTGGTTTATTTACTCTTGCAAACTATGGAGTATGCCCCCCTGTTACACCGGGAAATAAGTGTGTCTGGCCTTAGTGAATATTTACATTTACCCCACTGTCCGTATGAAGCGCCTCCTGACCAACTCCTAGATCAATCTGTAGGAAATCTTAATAAGTACCTGGAACTAAATCCGTAAATTGACATATCTATATTTACTTGTGCATATTACAGATCATTTACAGTAGCCAGGGCATGTAACCATAGTAACTGACTGCCCAGTAACAAACATTTTATTTTCATGTACAATTGTACTAAGTCTGTTTAGGAGCTCTTTAGGATTCTTTTGGAAGCTGACTAGCGTCAAGGAATGACTTCATTAGATGACAAGTTAAGCACATGTATTACTTGTGTACTTAGTAAATAATATGAAAAGAAATCTGGCAATGATGGCTCATGCTGTTCTTGCTGGATCAGATTGGGTAACCAGTCATTTCAGTAACTGCCTGCCCTTCCCTGAATATGCTGAGGTAAAATTATGACATGGCATTGTAAAAACTCCTTGTATCTGTTAATGACAGCTTCCATATTTTAATGTATTCCTAGATACTGTTTTAATTGTTTAGAGTACATATATATATATGCTTGACTATGTGCTGTAGTTACGGTGGCTATTCAGTAAGTAAATTTTCATTATGTGCTTCCAACATGTCCAATTACAGTGTTTAAATGTGTTAGCGATGTAGTGTAATTACCACTTATCCTCATGGGGCCCTCATCCTATGCCATATCTATATGCAGAGGTCATAATCACATGACACAATGTGAATTTTCAACTTTTCGGCAGCAGGAAAATATTCAGCCAGATTGTTTTGTCACTCTCCTACCCAGAGTTCCATGCCGCACAGCATAGTACCTCTGCCACCAGGCCAGCACCATGTGACAATTTGTCACATCTGACACAGTTCATTCAAGATATTGCATATTTAATGTTTCATTTTGACAATATATAAACAATTAAACATGTATGTGATGGTTAACTTTCATAGAGAAAATACCTTAAAACGTGAAAAACTATTTCCATTTTGCGTACTTATCCTTTGTATACATTGGTTGTACGGCTACACATGCTGTCATCCAAGCCCTATGGAGAGCTAGTGATACAGTCACTTTGATGTATAAAGATATATTGTCATGCACCTCACTGTTGCAGTTGTAGTAGCATATCTATATAATTATGCTAAACAATATGAAATACGCTCTGAAAGTCTTGCCTTAGGCCAGTCTGTACTGATTTCAGAATAAGAGCATTTGTTTACAAACAAGAGAATAGTGCAGTCACATGATAAGCAAATGAGCCTGTTTCAGTGCTGTTATGCTAAATCACCGCTGCACCAGGGGTGATTGTTTGCAGTAAGCACGTCAACCTGGACCACCAAAATGATTTTTGACTATTTGTAAGGAACTGTAAATCGGACACTGTTTTCAAGGATAGTTATGATTGTGCTCAGCTCTGAAATATGTTTACTAGATGGTGGAGCCTTCTCAGCGATATCAGAATATAGTTTTTAAAAATAAGTCTATGCTCCTTTCTAAGTATTATCATTAAAGTTCTGGTAAACATCCCTGATATTCAATCAAAATTGCTAGAGAGTTTTATTGTCATGATTATGTCAGTATTCCTGTGTTCAGTCATATACAATAGGTATGCATATTAATTTTGAATATAGTCAGTTTCATCTGATTGAAAGCATTCATGAAAGCAGAGAGACCTCTCATGGCCGTATAGTTCCTGCTTGTCAAATGTTTCCTGCAAGGCACATATTGATGCTGATGTGCTTTTGTTTGCCATTTACCAATATGTATATTGAAAAGTTGGCAAATTTCCCACAGTTTATGTACAGCTTTTTGTGTATTTGGTAATAACACTCTGTGTGTGTGTGTGTGTGTGTGTGGGTGTGGGTGTGGGTGTGGGAAAGTGTGTGTGTGTGGGCAGGGGTATGGATGGGGACAAGTAGGTCTCAGTATTGTATGTATTATTCCAAGATGGGATTATTGTAAAGTGTGACCAGATACATCATCGTTCATTTCATGTTCAGTTAGATTTCATTCTATTGAATTGTACAGGACTTCTGTATTATTTGTTTTGCCATGTATTTGTCAGAAGTAAATTGACTATGAACTTGTTATTTGAAGGACATTCTTTGAAATGAATAAACTCTCAGTGTTTCTCTCAGCCAAGAAGCCATATATGACCAGGAGAATATATTATTGGTAGATGCGTATTGTTGTGCAAGAACAAAATATCTTTCGTGTTGTCATCGTATTTAATTTATTTCATTCAAGGAATACATAACATTTATGTTATAAATAAATGGGAATGGTAAATATTGCTGTCGCTGGCACAGCAAGTGTTGGATCAATGGAATAGTGTTGACACTACAGACACTTTCATGGTTGAGTGAAACACTGAATCTACATGATGTCATGTTTTGTACTTCTGTGTTTATGTAGTAAACAAATACTGCTGACTGAGGCGATAGATGTACCTTTAAACATGGTGAGGACATTATGCAGCTTCTGCCAAGAGTTCATTATTTTCAATACACATGAAGGTCACTACTGTTGCATGTATTTTCTAGTTTAAGGCAGGCATGTAAGGTATGGGCTTTGTGTTCATGAAACACATTATTAAAGTAATTAACAGTTACTTTATGTAAAAACAATTATATACCAGTATCGAAAAACAGTCCAGGGTACTCTTGACTTTGAACAAAATACAAAATACAGATATTGGGTAACAATAGTAAAGGATGTAATGTGAATATGTTGTATTTGTTTGCTTGTACTCACTCAAACTGTTACATGTAAATTATTTCACAAACATTGTTGTCAGATATTGATAAGGGGTTTTGGAAGTTTGATTCCCCAAAATGGAAAAAATGTGTGTTTGTGATAATATGACCAACCCATGGAGGAGGTGATGTGAGTAAGTTAACCTTGACAAACAAATGAGATAACCATTCTGTGTGATGTATTGTACAGTAGACAAGATTGTCAAGAATATTGTCAGCTGGTTTTATCAAATAAGCCCAAGCTGATCAATCCTCTCTGCCTGGTCTGCCAATGTATGGTATCATTTCCAAGTTGTTGGATAGAATCCACAAGTAAATCTCTTGATAGAAATTGATTACATACAGCTTCACCAGTCGTTTGATCCTATGGTGATCCAATTGCTGAAAGGACTCCTCATGGGTGGACTTGTATTATCATTATAGACCATTTAGTTTAGTTTACAAATGCATTGTTTATATGTATATCATACACAAGGTATTAATGCCAAGGTATCTTCACCAGTGAGAACCGTTTGGGAGATTCAGGAAGTAAATAATCCTAAACTAATTCTGAGTACAAATGAGAAATGATCGCTAGAGAAAGCACATGGATTACTAGTGTTCTGAAGACATGTCTGTTCATTAGAAATGAGCTCCAAAACGCACCCGGAGCCTATAGATCGCGCTTCACGTGCACTCGTGTTAGTTTTAAATAAAGAATCTGTTCTCCAAAACGCACCCGATGCATAACGATCGCATCGCCTGAACACACCAAAGTATGGCTGTGACTGCACGTGAAATGTGAGGGTTGTGAGCAAATATAAGGCGGTAGCACGCATCGGTTAGTTAGTTGGTCAGAATTCGTTAGAGAGTTCGTTAGTTAGATGGTCAGAGATGGTTAGACAGATGGCGTTAGACATAGCGTTAGACAGTGTTAAGACTCCCTTAGGAGTAACTGTTAGAATTAGCATTTAATTTCTTTCATTTGAGGTTTATTCATCTTTCCTTCACATAATAACAGGTAATCACGTTTAGTTCCTTATAGATCTTCATAGTTTTTTAATAGGTTATCACGTTTAGTTCCTGGTTTCATTCAAAAAAGGTAAGTCATACAAATTTTAGATTAGTTTTCATTTTAAGTTAAACCACGCTCAAATATTCAGTTCCACTGCGCAACATTTGGTAGCAGAGCGTGGTTTCTCTGGTTAGAATATTTTAGTTTTGTATTAGGCTTTTGTTAGTTTAGATTAGCATTAGGTATAGCTAATTGTTACATGCAAGCAGTATGTCACAGTTAGGGTCTGCGAGTAAGGCGGAAATAGAAAAGGATACTTCTTCAGACGTAGTGCTGAAACAGTACGCTTCTTCAGACGTAGGACTTAAACAGAACACTTCTGAACTTGAGCTAAAGATAGCTAAACTTAAGCATCAGAAAACTATTTCAAAGTCAGCTTTGACAAAATCAAAGAACAAATTGCTGAATTTAGTTGAACTTGAGGCACCAGATCGTAAGACAATTAGGAGTCTAATTGATCAGGTAAGTTTTCTGCAGAGCAAGGCTATAGGTCTCATAGTGGAATATCTGGAAGCTTACAACTGGGCTGGTTACCTAGAGAAAGTTCAGAAAACTAGTAAGGAGATAGAAACTGTTGAAGATGAAATTGAACTTGCCCTTGATAAGGCTGAAGCATTTCTTAAGAACAGATCACATGTTAGTTCGGACGCAAAAAGCATTCAGTCAGAAATGTTAAGGTCATGTCAAGTTGATGCGAATCGGTCGCAAGATAGCTGTAAAGGTTTGTTGCATGATGCAGACTTGGACAGTGATGGCACTGGACAAATCAGTAACCAAGGTTACAAACATGCTTCGTTCAATTTAGGCCATTTTCAACAAAGGTCAAATATGGATATGAAACGGACACCAGTCCCAGATAACACAAAAGGTTGTTATACAACTTCAGATCAGTCATCTAGGCAACACAATTTAGGTGAAGACATGTGGAATCAATTGAAGAGAGTTTCCATTCCAGTATTTTCTGGCGATGTCAGAGAATATGAAGGCTGGAAGTCTGCTTTCATGGTATGTGTTGATAAAGCTCCAGCCACCAATGAATATAAACTTCTGCAATTGAAGCAGTACCTGTCTGGAGAAGCAGCACACATAGTTGCAAGGCTAAGTCACAGTGCTTCGGTCTATGATGTAGCCTTGGAGAGATTGGACAGAAAATATGGCGGCAAGAGACGCCAGGTAGCATTACAATTGGAAGAAATATACAATTTCAAGCCAATACGATTAGGGAATGCTAAGGATATGGACAAATTTGCGGACATGCTTGATGTAGCTGTAGTCAGTCTGAGGGAATCTGATAAAATAGAGGAACTTGGTAGTGGATGTTTGTATTCACTACTGGTTAAGAAAATGAATGAGCCTATGATTACTCAGTTCCACAGATGGTTATTTGAGCACCAAAGACAAGAGTCTGTTGAGACGCTTATGGAATATATTCTGCAAGAAGCAGAGTTCCAAACGATAGCTTCAGGATTAAACATGGAATAGCTGATAGGTCAAAGACAACAGACAAGAGAGATAGTTCTAAGAAAGGAACATTTGCAATCACACATAATAAAACTAGGGCAAGGCAATGTCATGTGTGTCATGAAGCAGATCATGACACTTCAGATTGCATAGAGTTGAAATCTATTGACCTACCTAAACGCTGGGAAAGGGCAAAACAGTTAGATTTATGCTTTCGTTGCCTTGATATCGGTCATCTGGGAAGATCGTGTAGCAGAGTTTTGAAATGTGGGATTGATGGCTGTAAAGCAAATCATAACAGGTTACTTCATGATCAAACCAAAGTTACAAGCAGTGCTAGGGCCGACAGTGGTAATGTAGAGATGAAACACACAACAAGAACACCACAAGCAGGTAGGTCAGAAACAATCACCATGGCAACTTCTAAGCAGGAAGGTCATTACCTTGCACTTAGGACAGTTCCTGTTATCCTTAAGAATGGTCAGCACAGAATGATGGTTAATGCCTTGCTGGATGATGCCAGCACGTATACTTACATCAACGAGGATGTAGCAGCAGAACTTGGCGTTCAAGGTCAGACACAGCAAGTGTCAGTCAATGTCCTCAATGACAAACAGGAAATATTTGATAGTATGCTAATTGATATCGGCTTAGAAAGTACTGATGGTTCAGTTGACATAAACATCACAGCTTTGACAACTACCAAATTAACAGGTAGAATGGAAGTCATTGATTGGCGAAAACATGCCAAGGAATGGCCACATTTGACGAAAATAAAATTTCCAAAGGTAAGTTCTCGTCCAAGAGTTGACATCCTGTTAGGTATGGATTATTTAGAGCTGCATTCCTCTCTTAAAGAGGTCCGTGGAGCTCAAGGAGAGCCTGTGGCTCGGTTGACACCCTTAGGTTGGACCTGTGTTGATGCTGTATCAGGTTCAGACAAAACAACACATGGAGCAGGTTCCTTCTTCATCAGAAATACAGAAATAGAAGCGATCGCAGATACAGATATTGAGTCTTTGATTCACTCATTTTGGGAGTCTGAAAGCATTTCAGGTTTGACATCGATTAGAAGCATGGATGAGAATGATGCAGTTAAGACTGTAGAACAGACAAATATCAGGTTGGCATTCCATGGAAGGAGGGTCACGAGAATCAGAAAAACAATTATGACATGGCATACAATCGTCTTCTTAATTTAGAAAAGAAGTTGTCAAAGGATCAAACGATTTCAGGAGCCTACAATGAAGTCATAGAACAATACCTGAAAATGGTTATATCAGAAAAGTACCTGAAACAGAAATAGATCAAAGTAAATGGTACTTACCACCTTTTCCAGTCATTAAACCAGACAGAAGTACAACAAAGGTGAGAATCGTATTTGACGCATCTGCAAAGAATAAAGGCATATCTTTAAATGATGTCATTCATCAAGGACCAAAACTCCAGAATGATCTATTTGAGATCTTGCTTCGTTTTCGCAAACATCCTGTTGCAATCATTTGCGATATTGCTGAAATGTACCTTCAAATTGAAGTCGCTCAGGATGACCGTCCGTATCTAAGATTTCTTTGGAGGTCTATGGATTGGAACAAAAAGTCAGATGTATTTGAGTTCTCAAAGGTTGTGTTTTGACTAAATTGTTCCCCCTTTTTAGCTCAGTATATCACTCAAGAACATGCTAAGTCCATGGAGAAAGAACTTCCATTGGCTGCAGCAACCGTGGAAAAGTCAACATATATGGATGACAATATGGATTCCGTTGACACAAATAGCAAAGCTATAGAGCTTTACAAACAGCTGCAACAGCTGTGGAGTACAGCAGGTATGCACGCTCGTAAGTGGGTTTCCAATTCCGTGCAAGTTCTCCAAGAAATACCAGAAGAGGATAGATTGAAAGAGATTAATATTCAAATGAGTGAATTGCCATCTGTTAAAGCACTGGGCTTACTGTGGAATGCAGAATCAGATGAGTTTAGATTTTCTTTCATGTCCTTAAAGCATGATATCAAGATGACTAAGAGGAACTTCTTGAAAGAAACTGCTAAGCTGTTTGATCCTCTTGGGTTCTTAGGTCCATTCATCATTAGGGCAAGGGTTCTTCTGCAAGAAA